TATATATATATATGGGAAGAAGAAGCAGCAGCTTTGAAAGACACCACACATGTTCATTCACGTTTTTCGCATTTTAAACAACAGAAGAGAAATATTTTAGTTAAATTAAAAAAAAAAAAGAAAGAATGTTGTCTGACCTGAGTGTGGAGCCATCGGTATGTGTGAGGGGTAATATTTCCCCGGCGGGAAGTGACCGGCGTGCTGCACGGAGCCGTGGCCGGAAGGAGCGATCCGAGAGGCGGCTCGGTGCACCAGCGCGCCCCGCTCCGAGAGAAGGTGCGCCGGAGCCGCGAAATCCCGTCCTTCCATTCCGAGGAATGTTTCAGTAATCCGAAATCCAGATAGGGGGGGGTCAGGAGGGGGGGTGGAAAAAAAAAAAATCACATGCAACCCATAAAATAATCCTTTCCCCTCTCGGTATCTATGTGTTGCATTCAGTCGATCGCAGCCTTCTCGAGCCAGAAGCGCAGCTCCGGATCATCTTTTCTGTCAAAGGACAAATCCAAAGCAGCTGTCACAATCAGGACCCAGAACAGGAGAAACGAGGCGCAATATTAAAATAAAATAAACAAAAAACAGCTGATCCTGGAGGAAATGGACGTTTAATGCTGCAGTAGACTCTTTTTTTTCTCTTAAGACCTTTCTGCATATTTTTGCATACTAAAACCTAAAAGTGCTTGCGTGCACGTGCAAACGGCCAGTGAGGATCCAAAAAAGCCCACTGCAGGCTTCAGCTCTATTGATCAGCCTGGGGTAAACAGGCCTTAATGTTGGTGGTGGTGGTGGTGGGGGGGTGGATCTCTTTATTCTGCAGATGCACGCACAAAGAGCAGCTCCTTACATTTTAAGTTTATTATACTATTCTGCTCCATTTAATGACGATCACATGTTTTCCTCTTTCAGCAAATCTTCATATAAAAGTGGTTTTTAAAGAGGAAGTTTGTGTTGATGAAAATGAGCCGACAACAAGGTAAACAACGCTGCCTTCCTTTTCATGCTCGTGCTATTGTTTAGGGCTGATGCAGGCGTTTTTATTTTTTATTTTTTTTATTAATTTATTTATTTATTCGCCTCTGTCATCTCCTTCCAGCTCTCATTATTACACCTCACATTTGAATTGATCTTAATGAGAGGAAATGGCAATAAAATACAATAAAATGTGCTCCTTTTCTCCCCAAAACTGCAAAGAATATATCAAATATGATCTTCAAATGCCATTTCTGTGAACGACTCTTCTTATAGAGCTCGAGCCTTTATATTTGAAATAAATAAAAATACAATTAAAACCATATTTGATCTCAGAGGTGCAGCAGCTTCTGAAAGGCAGCAGCTCCTTCTCTCCCTCCTCCTCCTTCTGTGTACGGGTGTGTGCGCGCGCGTGCACCGTGTGTGTGTGTGTGTGTGTGCATGTGAATATCTGCACTCTCACTGTCTTTATCTGCCTTGACCTATTTCAGGTCAGGTACTGAAATGGAGCAGTAAATACATTAAAGGCGACAGATGCAAAAATAGCACCATTTAGCTCAGAAATGACAATAAAATCTATTGTTTTTCGTGTGGCTCGAGCAAAAAGGTCTGCAAGTAATTAAAAAAAATAAATAAAGCAGAGCAGAAGACAGATTTATTACCAAATTATCAAGCATATAAACAAATTAGGGGGGTTATTTCATAAATCTATTGGCTCAAAGGGGTCTCCTGACAGAATTATACTATAAATGACTTAAAACCACATAAGCTTGCCAATAAGAACGTGCAGACATGTTATCATAGAGGCTATTTCATGTTCTGCCTTATCATCTCCCCATGTCTCCAGCTACAATTCAACAATAAAACCGCTCCATTCGCTGGACTATGAAAAAAATAAAAAATAAATCCCCATCAGCTGGCGGTTCCTGAGGTAATTTGTGTGCATGCATGAGAGTTCATGAGGTGAAAGCGTTTAAAAACAGCCCTGGCATGGCATTAGGTCTGCAGTTTGTTGACTGTAAGGGGATCCAAGGTGAATGGCCGCCCGTCAGGAGGACTGCCTTTGTCTCCATGCGCTCTGAGAGCGCTTTGCAGTCGGCCATTACCGTCCCCCCTTCTCCAAGCTGCTCCATCCAGGCTTTCCCAGTGTGCCCACTAACCAGCTGGGGGATATTAAATAAAATCAGGCGTTTACGAGAATAATAAGAGGCTTCAGGTTTGTAAAAAGTCGAAATTTAAAATGCATTGGGGTCATTTGCTTGCTTCAGCGTAAACGTCAACCTCGGTTTATTTAATCATTATTATTACAGTGAGCTCGTTCATTCACAAATGGCCACATGTTTTTATTTCTCCCTTTCTTCTTTTTTTTTTCCCGAATCCCAAACATCAGTCATGGAGTGTCAGTTTGCGGAGCAACGTCCGCGGCAGAAAGGTGGCGGCTGGTGAGCAGGAGAGGGCTGGATCCGGGAGCGCAACACATCAGCGGCTCTCCGTGGCTGTGCTGGCCGGGAAGGAGTGCGCCTCGGCCGGGCAGCGTAGCCACACGGTCCCGGTCCTCTCCCGGAGCAACCACGAGGCGTTGAATACAATCTACAGCCACTAGTTTTATAACATTTATAAATAATATATATACCTAACGTACAAAGATTAAATCAGATAGTTTTTTTTTTATTATGTTAAAGCTGTAATAAAATATTGTAAGCAATTAAAAAAATATGTCAAAATGCAACAATAATAATAATTTACATAATAATTTTATTAAGAGGAAATGGCTCTGCTTCAACCTGTTTTGTTATTTTGACAATTACTTCGTCCTCCCAGTATTTTTGGAGCAAAACTGCCTCGGTCATCTCCCAACAACAAGACCTTTAAAAAATGTTTCGTGATAAATATATAAAAGGGGGAAAAATAATTAGGTATAAGAAAAAATTACTACTTACTGGTGTGTTAAATCCATGCATAACAATAAATTACAAAATCTCAAAACTCTGGGAGGGATGGTGCACGTGCGACGCCCATTTAAAAAGCCAAAAAACCCGGAATTCGTGTGTCTAGAATGAAATCCTACAACATGTTTCCATCTGAGGCTGTGCAGGAGTCTGAAGGCTGAAGCCAGTGGGGCTGTGGGGGCTTCCGGCCTGTCTGGATTGCGGCTCGGTTCTCCAAGCAGCGGTTTCTCTCCCGATGCAAACCGTGTGCCTGGCGTTTCAAAGGAGGAGGGACGAAAGCGTAAACACGGTCTACGATTGGTCGGAAGCGCTGCACGTTAAGTGTTCACCCCGCCTCCTAGATGAAAAGGCGAGCTCTGATTGGTGGACAGCCGAAGCCGATGGCGCTCTGACTGGCAGCACATGAAGGCGGCAGATTTAAAGCTCTGGCTGATGCAGATCTCTCACAATGGAGCTCAGTCAGAAAAGACAAGCACAGCTTTAAATTTACAGCAGATAAAACGGATTAGAGAGACAGGGTGCATAAGTAAATACATAAGTAATGCAAAAACAAGAATGGAATAAATAAAATGAGGGTTGATCGAGGTACTGTAAAACAAAACATTAAGTTATTTTCCAGTCTGTTTTTTTTATATTTCTGAATATTTTTTTGCAATCTAAATACCTCTGCTACTTTACACTAAATTAGACATTCATATAATAATACGATCAGCTCTTTCGGGAGGTGTTATGAGTTTTATGTATTTTTATGTATCGTTCATGCTTTTCAGTTTTCAAAGTATTTAATAACTTTATTTACAAACATGTTCTGTGTAGATGCCTTTTAAATTATGATTATTTTATCTGCTTCAGCATACTAGCTCCACGTTTGTTTTCTTATGCATTTTTTTTCCCCAGAACTCTTCTTTTATTAAGTTTTCTTTTTGCTACCTTTATTTTTTAGCTAAGCTTCTGCTGCTTTTAGAAAAAAATTTTAAGCTACCCTTTTAGCTTCAAGTTACAACTTTAGAGTTTTTACTGTTTAACTAGCCTTTTAAGAAACATATACACTAGATTACCCCTTTGTTACTTTATAGTGTTTAGCTCCTTTTAGCTTTAAGCCACTATTCTGCTTAACAACTCGATTTTGGCTGCTTCAGCAAATTTCAGCAAATATAGCAGTCAGGCTGCATTTTAACAGAAATAGGTTTTTTTTTTGTTTTGTTTAATTTTTAAATTATGATTGTGTGTGTGTGTGTGTGTGTGTGTGTTCAGGATAATAAATAAAGTTTGTGACTGAGATAGGCCCAAAAAAATATAAAACAAGATCTAACACAAGGAAAAAATGTGTATAAACTTTGCGATTTGATAAATATAGAAACATGGGTCTTCTGTGTTAATGATACTAAAATAATAATAATAATAATAATAAAGTAAACAGTGTGACATGTGTTAAATATGCTAAAATTAATTGTATTATTACAAATGATTATATATATATATATATATATATATATATATATATATATATATATATATATACAAAGTATATATGTGTGTGTGTTTGTGTGTGTGTGTAGGTGTGTGTTTGTGTGTGTGTATAAACAGACAGACAGACAGACAGACAGACAGACAGACAGATAGATAGATAGATAGATAGATAGATAGATAGATAGATAGATAGATAGATAGATAGATAGATAGATAGATAGA